TGTACTAGACTTTTTTTAATTTCGTTTTAGTTGGAATGAGTATGTAAATGTGATTTGCAAAAATCTACCCTTCAATTTACTAAAATTTTATAATACTTATCTTAGACCACGGGGGTGTCACTTGTATGGAAAAGCAGGCAACAGTCAAATTTAAACGTGCCAGGATAAACGACGAAGAAAGCAACATCTGCCAAGCATTGGCTTTCTTTGTCACTCACATTGCTTAAATCATGATACCGCGGCCTTTTTGCCAACCAAGAAGCTGGCCGGTTGTCCTTGCAAGTGATTTAAAACAATTTTACTTTTTTGTAATATTAAATTACCGTTTGGATGTAATTAATGCGATTATTCAGTTAACTGGTAAGTTTGAAATTTCATACAAATACTTTATTCATAAATACAACTAAGATGTTAACGTATTTTTGTATTTTTAGATTTCAACTTTTGCAAAGACCCGCCGATAGAACTTGCCTGGCAGCGTACCTGTTTAACTAAACGTATTATTTCCTGATAATAATTTCAAAACACGTAAGTACTTCTATAATTTAAGGTGAAAAATGATTTTGATTATGTTTTATATTATTTAAATACTTTCTAACCTCAAATAATAGTAAGATCCTTGTTTATATCGCACAGCCCGTTTAAAACTGTATTATATCCAAAAAATGTTTACAAAACAAACAATTATTACAAAAACAATGTCCTTTTTAATCTGATTTATACCTCAGAAGGATGCCAGTAAAATTTTATTAAATCAACATTATAATTTGGCCATTAATATGCAAATATACTTCTCCTGTGACAATGTTCTCTATTTTGAGTTAGTAAACTTTTGAACGGGATGTGCGATATATAAAATACATAATATATCCAAGGGTATAATTTGATAAAAGTATTTTTTGATGCACGTTGGCTTAGTTTATGTTTTATTCAGCTTATATTTATTTCGTATAACAGTCATATCTGTCGAAAATTTTCATAAAACCTTTTTTATAGGAAATTTTATTCTCTTTAATTTTGCTTTGCTTCCCAAATTTTCACGAAAAAAAATCCCTTCCCAAATTTTCACGAAAAACGCATAGTTTTCGACATATTCCCAAAAAGCGATTTTGGGCGCCATCTTGGCAAGATGGCGGCGCATAATATAATAATCCTCTTAATTATAATCAAACAATGAAATGACTATGATTTTTTTTATTCTTTGTAGAATATTGACAAATTTAAAAAATTATAAACTACACAAAATAATAAAATATAATATTTATTAATAGTTCCTATACCCGGAAAAAATTGTATCTTCTACTTCCCCAATATCACTAAAGTAGAAAAATAAATCTATAGGTATAGACGATGCAGCAAAATTCTAGGTCATAATAAATGCATTTATACACGGAAAAGCTTCCTGTGCTGACAAATAATAGAATTAATAATATATTCGATTTAAAATAAATCCGTCTAGTCTCAGAAATTTCAGTATTTGATTCTGATTTACTTATATAGTGTTTAAATTAAATAAGTAAAATAATAGAATGGTATAATTTAAAATTAGATTATTTAAATTTTAAATTTTAATTTTATAATACTGTTACGTTTTTCGTCGGTTCCGTGTGGATGGAAAGTCACAATTTATTTAAACACTATTTATTTAACACTAATTAACAAAAACAATAACGATAAAAGACTTATAGAACTATTTACAAACGATTTATAACTAAGAATTTATTTTGAATTTTAGCGCGTCAACTGCACTGGTATATTTATAACTGCCCTCTCTAGGCCACTGCCGCCGTCCATAGATCGTTAGGCGCATAGAGAAGGTTTTCGAATGTTCTCGTATGTACTAGTCCATTCTAGTGGGTCTCGAATCTTCTCGAACGAATGAATCATTGCGGTGTCTATGCGATGTTAAGTTCATCCGAGGGCGGGCCATATTGTGAGGTTAGGTCGAGTCCACACCGGCTCGCAACAATACTAAAATTTTATGATAATGAATTATAGCAAAATAAAGACACTTATTCACCACAATACACCAAAAAACTTGACTTTTAATTGTCATTGTAATTCTAATCATCTGCTGATAACTCTAACATGGTTAAAGAAACGCGCGTTCAGTGTTTAAAAGTAAAGTGTTTTGGTGTATTGTGGTTAGGGAATGCAATCCCGCACCAAAATCGCAATCCCGCAAACCCGCGGGATTAAAGCAATCAATCCAGCGGATCCGCAAAATTGCGGAACTGTAAACAATAGTCATACATATTTGGTCCTAAATGGTACAAAAGGCATTGTACATTTTGCATAGGCCCACAATATATTGATATAGCGTGTATCTTAAACCAGCTGTACAAAAATTTGGACCGATGTATATAGGGTGTTCAAAAAATATATTTAATATTAAATAAACTTAAATTTTATTATAATCTATCTACTTATTTTATAAATAAAATATTATTCTGATGTTGATTTTTTTTTAACTTGTGTTAGTTATCAGCTTTTAGATACACTCTATATCAATAATTTTTTGGCATATACAGAATGTACAAAGCTTTTTGTACCATTTAGGACCATACGTATGACTAAAAATGCATATTTTTCAAAAAAACGTCATATTTTCCTTAAAACAAAAAAAAAAGTTAAAAAAACCTATCAAATTGTTTTTTCTAATTTCAATACAGATTAGTCGTACTTGGTAAAAATTTCGATTTTTTAAAAATTGTAAATTTGCGGTTAAAAATATTCTTGACCAAATTTTCACACTCTTATAAAACACCCTGTATACGAGAATTCGCTAAATATAGTTTCGAAAACCATATAGCATCTTAATCACAATAGATGCATCTAAAACCTGGTCCAAACCGCATCCCAAAATCTTTTTTAGTTCAAGAGATACCTATTCAACTTTAAATTTACCCTAAAATTTTGCTTGTCCCGATAATTACATATGTCCGGCAGTTTATTTGACGATATTTCCACAAGTACTAGTGAAACGCTTTTCTTCACTTACGCACATATGCCAGAAAGAAATCTAACAACTAGCCTGTTTGTTTCACTTATTTTTAATGGCCAAGCCGTATGGGGAATCCCCCGGGTTCCGACCGTCGACGCATCGGCCCGGAACGAACCGGTTTGACCCTGATCGAGATCGATTCGGTTACCCAGTAGTAATGGGTCGATTCCGCACGGTAAATCCCGCAACTTTAATCCCGCGGAAACTCAGAGGGATCCCGCATTTGCGGGATTGCATTCCCTAATTGTGGTGAAACAGCGTTTCTATTTTGCTGTAAGCCCAAAGGTTTCAACCCCCAAATGTAATAATAAAATCTAGTAAAATACAATAAACATCATCTGTGGTTTATTTAAATTATAAGGATTAGAAGTAACTTAATCAATGCGGTTGGCCAATTAAATTTGCTAAAATTAAGTTTATCGCCAAATGAATAACTACGTCAGTAGGTTATATCGGTTTTCAAAGTTTCAGTTATGCACAAGCACATAATTCTACAAAGTTTATTATCCTACTACGATAATTAATAAATAAAGTTTTCCTGACTAACTCCGTAAACACTAGACGGTTTGTATATCGTTTAAGTAGCTTTTCGATTAAATCGTTGAAAACAGCCACGGTACCTGTTACAGTCTCGATATTATACATATTAGTTAATAAGTGAAATTCTCATGCGTTTTAGAAATAGAAATCATATTTAGAATTAGGTTAATTCGCTGTGGAAATTTCAGCAGACTAATTTCTAAATACATTATTAAATGAAATAATAATTTTATGTCTTATTTACTAACTGTGCGAAAATATTCGGGACGAGATGCCCTGTACAGGGAGAGGATACATTAAAATACGCAACCAACCGTCCAATCAGATGAAAGAGGTACGTACCCTATCGTTGGGTATTGTGCAATCACGTGATGCTCATGTCGTATGACGGTTAAATCTTTGGTTAGAATTTTTGTTGTTGTTTTTACCGAAGAGTTTTTACCTGTTTTTACTTTATTTTTCTATTTACATCAGATTTATATTTTGTAATTGCCTATCAGACAATACGTATTTAGAAAAATAATAAGAATTAGGATCGTGTTTTTTTTTAAATCCTGGATATTAATTGGAACCCTTGGTAACATTACTGCTTTTGATATAAAAAGTGCATTTTTGATTATTTACTTGGGTTAGGATATTAAAATATCGGTTGGATTGTACGACATAAATAGATGTAGGTATGATTATTTATATATATGTATGTATTTATAAAGCTTACTATCTGTTTTGCGTTTTCAGTTTTTGATCAGACATTTGATTTTATTTGTGAAATGCCCACAAAAAAGCTTCCAATGATTCAACATCAGTGTGTTTGCTGCATAATGGATCATTCCTGCTGAATTTCATTCCTGCAGATCATTTGAAGACTACACGGAAAAAACCAGATAATATGTTACATTTTCATAGAAATTGACAACGAGACAATTTTATAGGCAAGTGTTAGCATTATTCGAGGCACCATCAAAGAAAGCAATAATAATATGCTTAGTCCCAGAGGTATTACAGCTTAGTTATTTTGCCCTACAGGAGAAAAACCAGAGTAGTTCACTCGTAATTGCATTTTCTCGGCTCCAGTTAAAATGAACAAAGCTGGTTTTTCCTGTGGTCTTCATTTGAAATAACGTAAATAAATGTTTATACATATGTATGTGATGATTAAATTGGTGTTAAGGAAATAAAAATGTCTTTCGATATTAATATATATTTTTCGATATTAATATATACCTAGGTATAGGTATATGTATATTTATTTTGAAATAAATTACACTTTTAACAGTTTAATGGAGTTTTTAAAGCCAGTTATAATATTTATATTTTAAAAACTTGAAATCATAATGTGGATGTAATCACGCATTAAACCACAGACTAACTTATATAAGTCAAAAAGTAGATTTTAGTGTTAACTTTATATAACTTGTAAGTAAAATAATATATAAAACAAATATGAAAAAACCAACAATTCTAATGTATATATTAAAATACAGTACAATAATAGGTATCTGATATCCTCACTTAACGTAGAATAATATTCTACCCAACTCAATACTATGTCCAACATGAGTTTCAAATATATCGGGCCCTAATCGTTCCTGAAAATAGTATTTTTTTACATTGTTATACCATATTCTAAACTATTTAATATTTCAGTCACTTAAAAAGTTAATTTGTATTGAATAATTGCCTACCATTAAAGCAAATTTGGACTAGTATTCTTAATGGGCATATTCTGTGTATGGATATAGGTACTTCCTCCAGATTTTGGGTTCAACCAATTTATTCTTAAAACCTGAAACATCTACATATAAAAAATAGACAGGTTACTAATTATAATAAAATTTACCCTTAGAATTATACTTCTTTAACAAATAATTTCCATTGGTATACTTTTCCATGACAAGTAATCAACTTCCTAACATTTTTTAATTGATGTAATACTTCCTCACGATGCGAAAAGAAAATCTTTTCTTTAGCACACAAAGGACAAACGATATGTTGGCTTACTTTCAGATTAGTTACTTTTCCATAGATATCCTCATGTCAATTCAAAGACGATGAACATGAAAATGATCATCACATGAAACATCACAAACTAAAAACCTAATAAACAAGTTTATATCGAATATAGAAATAAATTTAGTGTTCTTACCTATTGTCGTCCAAATCCACGTTAATAGATAATTAATTTTTTGGATTTTTATCTTTTATTTTTAAATATATCTTTCGAACTACTGGTTTTAGTAATTATTAAATTAAACGAACTAAAAAGTAAAAATAATAAACAATTAATTCTCTTGTCAATTGTCAATTTTCTCCAGGTACCGAACATCATCGATAACGCACGATCTACAACGATTATATTCTGTACAGGGAGGATAGTCACGAAAAACAAAAACGTTAACATCTGAAAAGCAGAGAGAGAGAGAGAGAGAGAGAGAGAGAGAGAGAGAGAGAGAGAGAGAGAGAGGGAGAGAGAGAGAGAGAGAGAGAGAGAGAGAGAGAGAGAGAGAGAGAGAGAGAGAGAGAGAGAGAGAGAGAGAGAGAGAGAGAGAGACTAAGTACCAAAAGTAACTAGTAGTTACGAGTCCATAAAAGTAACTAAAAGTTTACATCACTACTATCAACAAATGCGTCCGTCGCGTCGGATAGATAATTAATTTCCTGTAATCTCGTTCGGAAATGTTTCCTCGTAATAAGAATTATAAAGCAATGCAACAAATGTAGCGAAATTAATGGCATCCAATTTGTTTGAAACTCGGCGAGATAGTCCATAACAACTTCACTCAGGCACACTCGATATTTATGCTGTGAATCGTGACGCAACATCCATCTTTCACCTCGAGCCGCTGCTGTTTCGTTTATACTTCCAGTAATTTTCTTACAGTTTAGAAGTCGCTTGTGTATAAAATGCTGCTTTCTATTCGAATTTTGCGAACAGATGGACCATGATAAAGGCTACGTAAAATAGATTAGTAGAATAGGTTCTATCAATCAAGTTACATTGTTTTTTGTCTGTGCAGTTATTTTACAGTACGTCTGTCCGTCCTGTAGCTATGGGGTATCCGTGAGAGGGGAAACGATATTCTCTCGATGTTTTTCGTAAAAAAATAGACGACGCGTCCCATCAATAAAAATTCAACAAATTTGCAAGTAGCCAATAAAATGAGTGGGCGGTGACGTACTCGTCAAATCGACGTATAAAATATATTGGCTGTTTATTTAAATGTTTTTTGTCCGCATTCCTTTCATAGACACAGATCCAGCAGATGTACTGTACTTTGTCTTTTTACTTACGTACCTTTTTTTAAATCTCTTTAAAGAAACTTTAGGTTAAGTCTGTCCCAAGTCTATCCAACGAGAAAATACATGACAGTGACATTTGTCTTCTATCGGTTTAATTCACAGGCGAATAGTACTCTTCACTAGCTTGATGGACTGGCATTTGTAACATTTTTATATGCCGCGAGTGACAATGACTTAGTTGTACAGATCGTCATTATTTTACATTTTTTTTAAATAAATTTAAAACTTCAAATGTAATTAAAATAAAATTCATCAAACATCACATTTAATAAATGAATTTTACTTCCGTTTTAACCAGAAGTGAAACCAAATTTAATTTGCAGCTTCTCATTCTTTTCATATACTAAATAGTCTTAAAACTTATCTGATAAGATAACAATGTTGATAAACAAATTTGAAATGGCAGCGAATGTTTTTTTCAATTTACCTGAATTTTCTATACCGGGTGCGTCTCGAAAGTGGATCACCCCTATAACTTATTTTTATTGTTTGATTGGCGTATTCAATTGTTTCTGATCACTTTCTGTTTCACCGGAAATGACTACAACTTTAGATTTTTTAAATGGCACCCTCAGTATGTTTCTACTGTATTCTAGTAGATTAATTGAAGTAGATTAAATTGACAAAAAAGAAAGCCCCGAAGGAAACCGGTGGTTCTCACAATTTGAGCAAAATAATATTTTTTTTCGACTTATTTGGAAAACAATAAAGAGGAAATGTGTTTCTTTTTTTGAGATCTACCAGCCCTGAAAATATTTGTACTTATTTTATACTCGCCCTGTATAAATTTGTGTAGTTTAGGTTTAATAACCTTTTGTTGATGGCGATATTATGACCAACAAAATATTTTTTGTATATTGCCACGAATTAATCTATAGAATCTTTACATGAAATATTTCTTTAATTGTATATCTATTTGAAACGAAAAAAATCTAATTGTTTCTCAATTAGGCATCAAATTCCATTTTTTAATTTATTTAGATTTGTTATTAAAATCATTGATAATGTTAATCCGTTGTTTAAATAATCTAAGTTAAATTCCTTTGTAACGTTTTTAGTTCGTTACATGTCTTTTTTACATATGATATATGATGTCTGGCCTATCATCACCGGATTCCCTCTCGTTCAGGCCGGATAGTTTATTTGACGCGCAATTTTTACGTTCCCTAGTCGCCAACCCTGTTATCGTTCGACACAAACCTGTTACTATTCTGTGGAGGCGCGCGCTGTCAACGTCGCTTCTGTCAACTCTTTCCGTGCTTAACCTCACTTTGTTTTGACGCTCTGTTGTATCCCAGCTTTTAGAAATGGTGATTACTTAAATCTTGCTGTATAATTTGAATCAGCTGCTATTTCGAAGCAACAGGTAAAGATGAAGTATTATCCTTTTAGATTCGATATTATTATTGAATATTTTTAGGGTAGAGTAACGGATGTCCCAACTTGTATTTGTGTTTTGCTGGCACGTTGGCGTCCCTTTTCTTTTATCCTCCAGAATGTCACATGGAAGAAAGGACATGTTGTTTATTATTTATTGAGCCCTCGGAAGTACTTCGAGGTAGGTTTATTTTGTTTATTAGACCTTGTTTGGTTTTAAACAAGAGTTTCATATTTTTAGGGTCCAAGATATGGACTGGGTCCAAGGTACGGACTATTTCCAAGATACGGACTGGGTCCAAGGTACGGACTATTTCCAAGATACGGACTGTGTCCAAGATACAGACTGTGTCCAAGGTACAGACTGTGTCCAAGGTACAGACATTATCTTATGTACAGATGTCCCCAGTAAGAACGATTTTTTCTTACATATAAGTGCCACAGCGTGGATGTAGCTTGAGTCCCATGCTGCTTCGTTCCCAGCTGTAAGCTAGTTAGTTACGGCTGTACCAATTTATGGTGTCTCATGCTGGCCCCTTTGGTTGTGTTGGATGGATGAGTACAGAGATGCGAGACCACCTCACGCTGCTACTGTTTGAAGCAAGATTACATAAAGAACAGCTAAGTGTAGATTTACGTTCTAGTTTTTATGTTTTAGATTTTCTATATTTTCAGTCTTAAACAGTAACGTACATTTTAAATAATATCGTACAGACTATATTTAGTGGTTAGATTATTAAGAACATTTATGTCGATGCAGTAGTTGCAATGTGATTTAGATTTTAGGTTTCATTATATTACGCCTTGTAATAGTATTACTTTCTATAGATATTATTATTGCGCTATATTAACAGATGAATAACGAGACATAGATTCTAGAATCTACAGGTTGCAACACATCAGATTTAACACCGCATAAAATTTAACAATTTAAATAAAGTAATGCTACTTTTCTTATATTTTCTATAACGTTACACGCATTGTATTTTTTCATAGTCTTTTCATAGAACATATTTAATATTATTTACATACATAGTTTTACTCAACAAATAACCAGTATAATAATTATTAAAATTGTACAATGCTATTTACCATCAGAATTCATCATGAATAAATATAGTCATTAGTTTTAAGTATTATACAACTGTTTTCTTTCTCTGTTCATGCCTGGCGCCCAATATCTATATATCTTTTGTTAATTATATTACTGATTAATTTTCTCTCTAGTGAAATACCTTATCCACGACTGCTCTCCGATGAAAAGCTGCCGTTCGCAGTGGTAGTGGTTTAAAAAAACGCTACAATTTTCGCAAATTAACTTTTTCGGAAAATATCTACTGTATCGCAAATCGCAAAGGTTAATGACTTACCTGTCATTAGCAAGAAACCTAGTATGCCGATACACTTCCATGTTGATCCATTATGGAAGTTCATATTCTTGTCCATCTAAAATAAAAAAAAATATTAATAACTAGCTGATTAGAAAACGAACAAAATAGACGTGTTACTAGTAGAGCAAGAAGTAATTTTAGCAGCATATCAACCTGCCTGATTAAGAGAATGAATATTGAATCACTGGGGATATGCGTCATCAAATCCATGTTTAATCGATTTTTACCATCGCGCTCGTAACAGCAAATAAAGTTCCTAGTTGTTTCTTAAGTTACTCACTATTCGCTAATTCGGTTCATCAATGATGCGATACTTCCCCTAGGAGATGCAAGACCTTGTCGTTGGTGGGAAAGCTCCTTGTCAGGTGCTGGAGGAATCTCCTCTAGCACTTTGGCTCGGTCTAAGAAGCATCTCATTGTCTTGTCCCTGGCTGTACTGTCGTGGCCAAGGAATCGCACCCAAGACATATAACGATGCGGGATGGGGCTACCCTAGCCGTCATACCAGGCACCCTCTACTGTCTATGGTCATGTCTCACAGGTAGAGGGTGTGGCGAGGGGGGGGGGGTCTTGACTTAACCGCCAGACCAAGAGAAAACCAAACATCACCTAAAACCTAAACGCCACGATGACGGGACCAAGTCAAAGGGTTGCGTGGCTAGATAGAAGCGTAGCCTTTACTGATCTCAACCTTGGGGCATCAGGGGGCAGCCATTGTATTTACCACGTACTTCTACATGCGGGGCTTTATAGAAGTGGACTGAATATCAGTAGAGGTAGAAGGGGGTTTCACCATCAGTGGAGGGTGGAGGGAGCGCACAGCGCATGCGCGTAAATCAGCTAGGAACATGTAAAATAGGCTAATAAACAAGAATAAACGGGTTTGAACCGCTTTGAACCGCTTTTGAACAGCTTTGAACGGGTTTGAACAAAAACTGAACAGGTCTGTTGTTTTACGCTAAAAAGCTGTTCAAAGCTGTTCAAAAGCTGTTCAAAGCAGTTCAAACCCGTTTATTCTTGTTTATTAGCCTATTTTACATGTTCCTAGCTGATTTACGCGCATGCGCTGTGCGCTCCCTCCACCCTCCACTGATGGTGAAACCCCCTTCTACCTCTACTAATATCCCTAGCTACTCGTGGAAACACTATGAGATCTAGTATTAAAAACACCACCGGTGAAGCTGTGAGGAAACCCCCTAGCGATACTGAGTACATTAACAATGGAAGTTCCAAGGGACCAAACCGAAAGGGAACTACAGAAGAGATGGCTGACACTTGTGCGAGACAATCCTCCACAAGTGGCACACGAGCTACCACCTTCTGGTCGGGAGCCTACCTCAAGACCCAAATAGCGATACAAGCTACCGTTTTGTCTACCCGGTATGGGTCAACCAGGCGGGCTAGACGATCCTCTGAGAGTAGATCTTAGCGGAGCAGAAGCACGGAGATATCTCCGACTGCTCCACGAAGGATTTGCTCCAGAGGAAGCAAAAGCGAAACCACTCCTCAGAGAAAGGGAGAGTAAAGAAACCAAGAAACAACCTGACTCATCTCCATCAAAGGGCAAGAGAGGGAGCGAGAACTTCTCACCTCTTCTCCGGCAGGGAGAGAAAAAAGCCAGGATGAAAAGCCATCCAACACCGGGAGGCAAGCAGGGACGTATCACCAGCTTTGCCGCTATTGCTGGACAATTGAAAATGGCGGTGCTGCCAAAGGATTTCCCAGAGGTTGCTCTGATCACCGACCAGCAAACGTCTCTAGAAGAGGCTATACTGGACGAAGAAGTAGCGATCGGATCGCAACACAACGATGTAAGGCAAGCCAGGGACGTATCACCAGCTTTGTCACGATTGCCGAACAAATAAAAATGGCGGTGCTGCCATAGGATTACCCTGAGGTTGCACTGGCTACCGGTTAGCAAACGGCTCTAGGGAGGCGATACTAGACGCAGCAGTAGCGATCGAATTACAACACAACTGTCCACAACATATGGGTCAGCTGCATTTTGCGGGAATACACTTTCGAGCGGGTATGCTGCTCATGATTGTGTATCTCAAGAATCTGCGGATTGATTGGCGGAAGCGGCACCTAAGCTTAAAAATTGGCAGGGGTCGGGATGGTTGCAATAAACGGAGAAAATATCCCAAAAGGGGCGACCATCACGGTCTTTCTGCCGAGGAGAAAGGGGAAAGACATCACCTACCTGCTGAGCCTCATCCAGGCTCATCAGAACTCCAATGCAAGGACATCGAGTTGGCGAGTCATCAATTCGAGGTAGGAAAGTCATGGTCAGGTTCACACAATACAAATTAACCTCAAATCCAAGGAGGAAATAAGTAGGATATATCCTTTATTATAGATTCAGGACAACACCGCTATCAGGTCTAAAGAGAGACCAAGTTAAAAAGAAAAAAATGGAGAGAGACCATCCAGCCTCCACCTCACAGGTACCTCTGTCGGAGACAAGCTTCCACGGAGGGCCAAACTCCAACCGTGAAAAAGTGTATATATCGGGGGAGGAACATCGCGGTTGTCAGAAGAGGATTGGAAATACCCTGTCCCCCCGACAACATGTATGATGGGTTATAGACTGTATGATGAGTTATAACTCAAGGAAGGGGGATTACAACAGATCTTTAAGGTCGCAGTGATTAACCCCCCCCCCTCCCACTCATCCTAAATTCTACAACTACAAAGATTGTAAAATGTAAAATGTAACTACTGTTTAAAAAAAACTAAACTTTAAACTGTTTAAACTGTGTTAAAAACTGTTTAAAACAAAGAAAATTAGAAATTTCTAGAAAATTGAAAGCACATATATATTAATAAAGATAAATGCGAGTTAAAAAAAAACAAGGAACAAAATACAGGGATAAATATAGTATATCATATCATATCACTTAGCTATGTATAATGTAACATATCATGTATAATAACATAAACTTGCACACATAGAAAAAATATTATCGATATGTATACCTACTCATTTCACATAAAAATAATGATATTTATTAAAGATACTACATTTTTCCATGAGTCCGGTTGATTAGCTGTTCATCTTCAGACCTTTTTTTGTATTTAAATAATAATATAACAAATAAAATCGTTCAGTTTGATTTTACATTTACGTACTTGTCATAACAACGTTTTCCAATTGACGAAAAAATAAATGGCGCAGAAAATAAAACATACCCAAAAAATAAACATGTCCTGTTTATTTCCCAATATCCCAGCTGCAAATATTCCCCAGTTTTCGTGAAAACTAATTAAATTCCCTCATTCGTAGATTCAAAATTTGTAAAATTACGAATGATGTTTAGCAAATACAAAGGGTAAAATAATAAGCTGGGGAGTTTAACACAGACGCCTGGCTCTATACCAGCCACGGAAAAAGAAAACATGAATACAGGGTGCTGCAAATTCGAGGTACGAGCATTGGTATCTCGGTAACCGTAATAGATATTAAATTGGGACAAAGTTGCCCGCTTTGGGATGTTCACCAAGATGCCATCAAAAAAGTTTTAAAAATTTCAAGGATTGCTGATTTTTTCAATCAATTTTATTTTTTCCTGTCGTTACGTTTTAGAAAATCAAAAAACTAATTGCACATTCTCATAGCCACTTTATTAGGACTATCTGGTAGTATTTTTAGATTTTCAAATTAGCTGATAATTTGTGAGATACAGAGGCCAACTTAATTTTTTTAAATACGGACCTGCATTTTTTATTTCAGATTTTGAAAGAACTCTCTTGAGTCTCGTGAGTACAATGACGTGCCAGACTTAATATTTTTTTTGTTTTGACATTTGAACACAATTTATTTAAACTAATTCTATTTAATTTATTCATCGTTACAATATTGATAAGCATTCAAAATTAACAATGACATGGGGTAAAACACTGAATACGGAAAATCAAATGCAATAAAATAATTAATATAAATATAATATAATATAAACAATAATCAAATCATTTTCCCAGAAGATGGACTGGAAATGGTAGAGCAATATAAAATGCAGCGAGGTTCCTGGACCTATCGTCAAGGGCTACATTACTTGACGTCATTTGTAAAAGTGAAATCAATTCATCTCAACATTTACAATAAAGAGTACAAAATGCATTCGGAAGTATAAGAAGAAAGTTCAAAGAGCTATAAATAAAATTGAACGAAAAAGACATTTGTGCAATAGGGAGGGCGGTAATCATTTCGAACAAATCAAATCAAATCAAATCAAAAAGTCTTTATTAGGCGGAGCTCAGCCGAGGCTGCTTAGGCCCAACCTGAAAGATATTACAAATGTGTAACGTTTTAATAAAACGATACTATTGGCAACCCAACATACACCCTACCGAATTAGTTCTGACACTCTGTGGATCGTACTTGCCCTTGTCGGCGCAGAACTAGAGCATCTTTTTGACCATCGGAAGTCACCATTTTTGATTCAGATTTCGTGGCGTAAACATCGACATACTTATCTGAAGTCATCCGAAAAAGTTTAAACTCTTTAATTCTATTAACTTTTGGAATGTAGTCCTAGTGGTTCCTGGCATTTGGGGAAGGAATCAATTTTAAGTTTTCATGGGTATTTTTGTGGTAAGTTTGATCTTCATCACATTTTTACTCTTTTGGTTCAACCTTATCTCTTTACAGAGTTTCTAAACGTGGTTTTGGTTGTCCTGTCATGAATTTAATTTTTGAGTAAACCCTCAGCATTGTGAGGTAAGTTCTAAAATTTCTAAAATGCATTTTGTGCATAAGTTGTGTCGTTTCCAGGGTTTTACCGCCCAGTTACATGGCGAGTTATATGTCGTGATTGGTGGTTTGAGGTACGAGAGCCTGTATCTATGATCCATGTTTGATTTCCACATGGCTGGTGGTATTGTAAGGGGCTGTTCGAGGCTGTGGTAGATTGGGGATGAGCTCCCACACCTAGCGTCCACACACCATCCAGAAGGACGAGCCAAAGCCTGGAATTGCACCGGATAATCAGGCCAGATTTCACTTTTTTTTTAATAACTCATTTCAAATTTATTTACTTACTGTTGACGAA